TTTAAAGCCTTGAAGAATGGTCTGCACTTGTCGGTGGATCTCGAGAGGAATCGGTTGAGGGCCGCTGCTCTGCCCGTCAGACTTTGTATTTCCTTTACTGTTGAAGGTGACTTCATCTCGAGAATGGCCTTGATTTGGCGTGGGTGCGCCTCGATACCTCGTTGAGTTACTAGGTATCCCAGGAATCGACCGGACGATACACCGAACGTGCACTTACTTGGATTCAACTTCATGCGATACTGGCGGAGCAGGCTGAACGCCTCAGTGAGGTTCTTGATGTGGTCTGCTCGCTTAGGGGCTTTGACCAGCATGTCATCCACGTAGACTTCCATGGTCTTGCCGATCTGCTCCTTGAAAATTTTATTCACGAGCCTTTGGTAGGTTGCTCCGGCGTTCTTCAGCCCAAAAGGCATGACCTTGTAGCAGTACGTCCCTCTTTCTATGATGAAAGAGGTCTTCGCCTTGTCATCTTCGTACATTAGGATTTGATTATAGCCGGAGTAGGTGTCCATGAAGCTGAGCAGCTGATTGCCGGAAGTTGAATCCACGAGCTGATCGATTCTCGGCAATGGGAAGTTGTCTTTTGGGCAAGCTTTGTTGAGGTCGGTGTAGTCAACACAAACTCTCCATTTGCCCTTTTCCTGCTTTGCCACCAGTACAACGTTGGCCAGCCATTCTGAGTAGGAGACCTCTTCAATGAAGCCGGCAGCTAAAAGCTTATCGATCTCGGCTTCGATGATCGCAACTCGCTCGGGAGCGAAGTTGCGTCTCTTCTGCACCACGGGTTTGCTGACAGGGTTGACATGGAGTCGGTGGCAGATGATGTTCGGGTCGATGCCAGGCATGTCAGATGGCGACCATGCGAACATGTCTTTGTTCTTTTGGAGGAAGGTGGTCAGCTCCACCTTCTCGTCTAGGCTTAGGCGCGAGCCAATCCGAGCTTTTTGTCTGGCTGGTCAGGATCGAGGGGTACTAACTCAACGTCTTCCTCAGGCTTCCAACCCTGTTCAAGGGAGTCTTCCGAGCGGATTCCCTCATCTCGATCCTCCTTGTTTGGATTCTGGCGCGAGCCGATCTGCGCTTCTTTGTCTGGCAGGCCAGGATCATGGGGTACTAACTCAACGTCATCCTCAGGCTTCCAACCCTTTTCAGGGGAGTCTTCCGGGCGGATTCCCTCGCCTTGATCCTGGCTCCTTAATTGCTATTTTGAGGTAGCAACTTCCTTCCCGTTCGGGCTTGCTTGTCTGCTGGGAGTGTTTGCTGCCTCGTCAGTAGCCTGCATTACTGGTGTGAACTGCAGTTGTTTGCTCTTCTTGAGCCCTTGGGCTGTGCATCTTCTTGCCATGGCTTGATCACTGTTGATCTGCCCGATATCGCCTCCAAGGATGGGGTAGCGGATCTTCTGGTGTAGAGCAGATGTGATGGCTTCGATCTTGCTGATCCATGGTCGGCCCAAAATCCCGTTGTAGGGAGAGACCTCGTCGATGACCATGAAGGTTTGCGAGCAGACCACTGGTGGTGAGTGGACGTCTAGGTCAATTGTCCCAACAGTGATTGACGTGGCCCCATTGAAGCCGATGAGTGATTTGGCAAGTTTGCTAATCTTGGGCTCCAATCCCATCTGTTGGATAACCGATAGTTGCAGGATATTGGCTGCGCAGCCCTCGTCCACGTGAACTCGCTCGATCACAACTTGTTCAATTTGGATGCAGATTACTAGGGCGTCATTGTGCAGCAGATCAAGCCCGATCAAGTCCTTCTTCTGAAAGCCGATGATGGGTGTATCTGCAATGACTGGTACGCCCGTTGTGACTTGGGAGACATAAGTCACCTGCGCGATCTTTCTCTTACGCTCCTTGGTGGTCAGCTCGGACTCCTGGGAGTCAGCTAGAATGATGTTGATCCGTATGACCTTTTGGGGAGGTTCCTTGGCAACCGCATCACGATCCTCGATCTGCTGGATGACCTTCTTTGCAACGAATTCCGTACAATGGCCGTCTCTGACCAGCTCCTCAAGATGCCTTTTCCGGGCGTTGCAGTTGTTTGTGTAATGACCGTGTTCCCCGTGGAATGCACAGTATTTATTGGTGTCCCTCATAGAGGGATCTCCCCTCATAGGTGGTGGTCTTCTCACCCACGGCTTGTTCTTCACTTGTGCCAGGATCTGGTGTAGTGAACTCAGTGAAGGTTCCTGTTTCCGAGCCTCCCTCTTGGGGCCGCGATCTGCGCTTCTCTCGGGCTTTGTTCTCGAACTTGTTGCCCTTTTAGCTCGCCTGCCTTGTTGGGTGATCAGCTGGCTTGCTGGCTTTCTTCGCTGCAATACGATCGTCGTCCCAAAGTGCGTAGCGCTCTGCCGTCGCGAAGACCTCTGCCAAGGTTTGGCTTGGAGTTATGGCCAGCTCACGGTATAGCTCGTGTTCGGTTGGCAAGCCTTTTTTGAAAGCTGAGGATGCAACTTGGTCATTGCATCCTATGATGTTCGCCTTCTCAGCCTTGAATCGTCTGAGGTAGTCTCGAAGAGACTCGTCTGGTTTCTTGTGCAGGTTGAACAAGTGGTCTGCATGCTTTCTGACCGTCTTGTAGGAGGTGTACTCCTTTGTGAAGATGAGGGCGAACTCCTTGAAGTTGCCTATCGACCCGGACGGTAGAGTGTGGAACCAGTCTTGAGCTGCTCCTCGTAAAGTCATCGCGAACACTTTGCACATCAGGGCGCCGTCTGCCTTGTACAGGATCATGGTGCTCTTGAAGTGCCTCAAATGGCTCTCAGGGTCAGAGTCTCCTTTGAACGGAGTGATGGATGGCGTTGTGAACCGCTTTGGCGGCGGAGCTCGTTCCACTTCCTCGGTAAATGGCGAGATCAATTTCCTTGCGCAGGGCCTCCTCCGTGCTTCCATTAAGTTGGAGACTTTGGAGTCGGTCATTCACTAACTTCTCGACATCCTCTGCTCGCAGGGCTAGTGGTTCAGGTCGATGTCTTCGGTGTCTCGATCGCC